ACCCGCAGTGACCCGTTCCACGTATTCACCTTTCATACACATTACATCACCACATACCCTCCATCTGTCCCTAGCTGATGCAATCAGCGGATTTAACAAAAAAATGTAAGAAAACCAATAACTCAACACAATATGTATATATACATAACTACGATGTTAACAGTTCCAATGGGACTGTTAAGTGGTCCCTCCAAAGACTTTCCGTAAGTCTGTAGTACACAGAATAGACGCACCATATCAGACTTGTACTCTGTAAAATACATCTAGTACAAAACCATAGTATCATGTACATATTACATTCCAGAAAATAGCTACATAGTAACCCTGTATAGAACCTTTGAAATAGGTTTAAAAATCACACACAAACGACAACCGATCGTTGACTCGGCACCACCAGTAGCATATTTTTGTTGGGTACAATCCACCTTCAGTCTCTGTAAGAATATCATCATTTACATTTCTCGTATATAACAATTAACAATATACATACATACGACAAAACCCTTAACAAAAAGGATACCGGTACTTGTTTTAAACTTTGGATACGACGTCTATTTTCCTCTCCTTCGGTACAACTTGTCGAAAGACGCCATGCTACATACTGTATATTGTATAACAAATGTCTTACACGTGTGTTGTCTCACCGCCGTCTTGTTGTGTGTTCCGTCCCAGAAAGTGACCAGTCCAAATATCACCTTACCGCTGCATTAGAATGATAGTTTTGTGGTATGGTCTCTCTCTCGATATCATTCCCGATGATTACGTCGAATGATCCCCGTTCGAATACTAAAGCTCGTACTTGTCCCGTCACATACGGTGATTTAATGTTTATCAGTGCTATCGGTAGGCGTATGACCGTGCCACCAAACACCTCTACCATTTTCCATTCACCCGTGTATTGGTGCTGTTCGACGTAGCTACTTTTTACAGCAATAGTAGAGCACCCCGTGTCTCTCACCGCCTCTACAGTATGAGCTCCCACATTCACCATTAGTGTTGGTATTTTCGGTGCGATCTGTAGTAACGGTGCTTGTTCTACTCCCTCATTATCTGGGCTACTGTTGTGGCCGTTGTAATCATTGTTATGATTTCCGTCCTGCCGCGGTCTATGTTGTTGGCTGTAATAACTGTGTGCCGCATGAGTGTTTGTGTCTCTGGGGTATTCTTGACCCGCAGCCTGGTTGTTGCCCCCAACATTTGAATGTCTATGCGGACAGTTCCTAATCATGTGACCCGGTTGTTGGCAGTTGAAACACCTCCCAACGTATCTTGTGCCGTTGGTTTGTGTTCCATATCTCCTTGGCCGTCGATTGTCATCTCTGTAGTTTACTGCCTCTAGGCCAACATACTCCGCTGTACCGCCTGTCGCCTTCGCATAGAAGATTGATTCATACTCTGATTCTTTGTTAGCTATTGGTCTATCCGTGTGTGCAATGATGTACTTTTGGCAGTGGTCAGTAAGGTCTTTTAGGGTGGAGGGCTTTCTTTCCTGTATGTAACTTAGTAGCTGCTTATCTACTGAATTCAATACTTTGTCTATCAAAATGAATTCAATTATATTCTCAACTTTCATCTCCACTCTAGCCGTTTCTAGCCACTTCATAAACGTGGTTTTTAGATCCAGCACGTAGTTTTTGAAATCCTCAGCTTTGGATGGTAGTCTGTTGTGGAATTTTTTCCTATACGAGTCTTCATTATGTAAGAAGAACTCAAGGAGGGTTTCCTTTAATATTCTGTAGTCCTTCATGTCGTCCTCACTCAGGCCCTGACATGCATCCAATGCCTTCCCTCCTATTAAGACAAGGAGTTGAGTTACTCACTGCGTATTGCTCAAGCCTGTCGTCCTCGCCACTGTCTCGAATCTCCTGATGTACGCATCTATGTTTTCCGAATCTTCCTGAAATTTCGGCAACTTTGATAGGATGTTTTGATGGTTCATATCTATGTGTGGTATGTTTTTCATACCTTCATTCTTCATTCGTGCCAGTTCGAATTCCTGCCTTTCTTTTTCGATCGCTGCTTCCGCCTTCATTCTTTCCACCTCTATTCTTGCTTCCGCTTCCATTTTTTCTTGCTCCATCTTCATTCTTTCCACCTCTATTCTTGCTTCTGTCTCCATCTTTTCTCTTTCCCTCCTGCACCATCTGTCCCTCCTTTCTTCACTCTCATTCATTCTTTTCTCCACCCACTCGTCCAACTTCTCTCCCTCGTATCCGTTGCTTTTGCCCAGTCTATACATCTCTGACAAACTCATTGGTTCCTCCATAATTCAACTAATTCAAAAACTCAAAATGTTGTCACTTACAGGAGATCTGTTCTATTCCCCAATTGTGGGTCCCGCAGCTCCACCAAGTGTGTGAGGGTTGAAGAAATATCCAAGAAATGCACAACACAATTGCAGTTAGATATCACAGTCCTTTATTTCTCTATCCTTCAGTCACCAAATCAACCTGCCTTCTTTCGTGCCCAACCTTCAACTGCCGTCCGCATTCATCCCTACACACCACCTTTCTCCCGCTCACAACACAGCCACTGTCACCCGACCAGTCGCTTCCCTTGTACCCTCGTTCACTCCGTACAACAACATACATGTCAACACACCCGGCCTCGCGTCTCACACATGCTACATACACACCCGCAGTGACCCGTTCCACGTATTCACCTTTCATACACATTACATCACCACATACATTATATTCAATTTTATTATTATTTTGACTATACTATATTATACCAGGGGCGTAGCGAGGGGGGTGCGGGGGGTGCGGACCGCACCGGGTGACACCATTTAGGGGGGTGACACCAAGGCAAAAAATAGCAAAATATATACAGAAAAACTTGAGGGGGGGGGGTGCAAATCGAAAGTTTGAGGGGGGGGGGGTGCAAATCGAAAACTTGAAAGTTTGTCCCCGGGAAGGGTCGCTACGCCTCTGGGGGGGGGGGTGACACCATTAAGTGCCGCACCGGGTGACACCCGACCTTGCTACGCCACTGTATTATACCATATTCTATTAATGTCTCATAATGTCTATCACATTATACTTTACATTTTCCTCCTATTCAAGGTACAGAACTACCATACAGCCAGACCAAGAAATGCGTGGGGGGGGGGGGTACTTGAGGGGGCAGGCCGTTTAGGGGGCCCGAAATCCGACCTTTTTTCCCCAACAATATTCGTTTCATACAACTTGATAATGGTTTTGTAAAAAAAAAATTGATATAATACATAGGTGATTGTTCAGCAGTTACTGACCCACGCTGTTGCGTGGCATAAAACAACACACGACTGTATTGTGAAAGATAAGCAAACGTTCAAACTTCACTGACTTACTACTCTTTTTCAAAACACTCTAATGGAGGGAAAGGAGGGCGTAGGCATTATATTCTTGCACTAAGCAAATACAATACTAACTTATTTTCTTAATTATTTTTTTAATAAAATAAACTAAATAAAAACATACATGTAAACGAAATGTTTATCTAAATTAATAAAATTAATACATAATAGAATAATGATAAAGACAACACAGGAAGACATTACACGTATTAAGCTTCATATAGCATACTCTCGATGGTTATGTAAGTTTTTAAGTTGGTTTTAAAACTTAATAATTTCATGCCCTTAATGAGTTTGGGTGCTGTTTTTGTCGTTTATGTCATAACATATGTACTGCGCAATGAATTTGTTTAAAATACTAAATTTAAAAAAAAATAGACAGTCTATATTTTAAGTATAAATATTAATCGGTTTCAAAATTAAAGTAACTACAAGTAAATTAAAATATATTTATATACAGATATCCGAATACAATTCCGTATTGCAATTTACCAATAAATGTATACTGTCTTCTTACCATATGACCAGGCTAAACTAATCAACATAAAACCGATATTACTTTTTCTATTTGTGTGGTGATGTTCAATGACGTCTACAACAATTCAAATCCACCATTTTCCCTCTCAGTTTTCACGGGCTTGGGACCGTCACATTGGCTGGACCAATGTGGCCTGATTAAAAATGTTTGACCAACCGGGGCCACAACAGTTGTTAGTTTATTAGTGTGTTAGTTACCACATCAAACAAAATTATTATTTATTGTTTTACAGATAATTAAAACTTTAAAAAAAAATATAAGCAGTTTTTAAATGTTATGCCTAAAAATTGTTATGAGCTTAAAGTTTAATAATGAGTTTAAGAGCAACTATAGGAATTTCAAGTCTAAGACTTCAAATGCTTTTACGGTAGTAAAAGAGCAACGTTATTTCTATTAAGCGATGTTATAATGAAGTCCTAATTCAAATATAGAAATGTAGGCACACAGGAAAAAATGTGTTCAATTTTATCTTATCTAGGCCAATAATAAAATTTAAATAACTTCTGATTCATTAAGACTGTGAGCTCTAATGTGAGCTCTAATGTGAGATCCAATGTGAAAATAACCAATAGATATTTGCAATTCTATATTAACGGATATAAATATTAATTTCTACTTAAATTTCATTTGTTTTACGGTAATATTTCATACATTATTTCTTATATGCATTAGAAATTATTCCAACATGAAATGTTTTATTTTCTTAGTCTGATTTAAAACCATTGAAACAAATCCGAATTAAATGAAAATAGACACACTTTTAAAAAATAATTCTGTTAAATATTCAATTTTTCTTAACAATCAATTAAACATGCAATGATAAATAAATACGTGTTTATAATAATTAATTTAAGGTTAATGCGTTTTATAAATAGAGGAGCTATAAACACATTTTGTTTTCTAGAATAGTAAATTTGTTAAAATAGGGATTAACACGTTAAAAACTGCAAGATTGTTAGATTTTAATTACATGAAGTGTGAGAAAAAAATGTTAGCGAGAAATATTTTAGTATTTACGAAAGAAACAAAAGTGAGAAGAAAAAACATGCAGAGAAAACGGAGACAAATAGAAAAGGAAATAAAATAAAACCTAAAAGACCATACGAACCAAACGTGCTTTTATATCTAGAGCTGCTGCACTCTCTCTGCCAGCCAGGCGGCCGCTCCCAGAGTTTCTATCAGCTGTGAGATATCCCACCTAGAGGCGGGGTCAGGGTGGAGAAGGTTCTCCAAGATATTCTTATACAACAGCATGGGGAACGGCCAGACAAACGTCTTGGTCATCATCAGGTAGTCCAGGGTTTCTTCTGGCTCGTCACAATCACATTGGAAGAGCAGGCACCACAGCACTACGCCAAGGGCATACATGTCAAGCTGAGGATACAAAGTGCATACATGTCAAGCTGAGGATAGTAAACGTAAAAATGTTAAATCAACTAGCTTTATGCTTATGCAAATAGGTTTTAGTAAGACTATCTTAATGGTTGTAAAGAACTATGTTTTCTAACTAGCACACAAACTATTAATAAGTGCAACAAGAGACACGTTACCTTAAATCCGTCGTACCATCCTTCCGGGTTTTGCAGCATCTCTGGTGCCATGTACGGAACAGTTCCAACCTTCCTGTTGACCAGCACACAGCCAGGTTGGACCTTGCAGGACATGTCGAAGTCCGTGATGTACAGGTGATGCTCCGCGTCCAGCAAGATGTTGTCCAGCTTGATGTCCCTGTGTACGATGTTCTGACCATGGAGGTACTTGACAGCACTGCACATCTGAAGGAGGTAGTGGTCAATCTGACGCTGACCGATCTTGCCTATCATGTTGTAGAGGGCACCGAGTTCACAGTACGGCATGCCAATGACGTTGTGTTTAGGAAAAGACATCGAAATCTCGTAGACCATGACGTTGGGATGGCAAATCTTCTCCAACACTCTCACTTCACGCAGGAAAGCTTGGTACGATCTCTTGGTATTCTTGAACACTTTCAGAACTTTCTTCACGGTGGGGTCTTCCTCTAGTGTAGCCAAGTATATCTTTTGTTTGGTCCTTTCAAGAGTCTCCACTTTTCTAACACGAAGGATTTCGAACATGTCGAGATTTCCCATATCAGAAACCTTAACTGGGATAGACATTTTTTATTCAGTAAACTGAGCAATCTCATTCAGCAACTACGGAAATGAAATGGTTGATCGAAAGATCCACTGGCCTTATATTAGCCCTCCCAACATATACCTATGCTGAAGTTACGTCATGGTCAGTTCACTTGAACAATACCTCGTTAAAATATCGTTCGTTGCATTGCGGTGAAAAGGTGGTGGAATGTAAACATCAGGATCATCAGAATTAACAGCAAATTTGTATTTTTGTTGTTGCATCACGGCCCCACCTCTAAACACGCATGTCCAGATAGGCGTGACCGCGCAAACACTAGGACGTAACGAGATCTATTGTTACCTGTCTCGCTCAAGGTAAACAGCCATCAGAAAAAATAACATCAGTGGCGATCAGCGGACCAAAACCTGGATTCACCTTGTCAAAACTTTAGACAATGTTTATATATCGCTTCATGTGAGATAAATAGTCGCCTAATCACATGTTCCTACACTAACATCATTTCACTTATTTTATAAGTAAGTGAGTTAATTTATTTTAATAACTAGTGATGTAACATCGTTGACCCTTATCAAAACAAATTATAATGGGTTTAGTTTATTTTTCGTATTTGTTAAGTTGTTTAATAAATCAAATGACTGCCTTAAATACAATTTGTCTAGAGCAGGGGTTCCCAACCCTGTGCCTGCCTCTAACTATTCGACAGAATTTTTTTCATAAGCATTATTTTAAAATATGATTTATTATTATTCATTTGTTACAGTTTTAATTTTTTTTACTGCCTAGGTTTATTAAATATGTTCGATACTTGTCCCAACTTGTCTAGCGGCGAGCCAGACTGCACTATTTACGCTACCCTGAAACGGCTAGTGCCTTCACAGGCTGAAAACCCGAAGTGAGAAAAGTTCCCATTGTTGAAAAAAGCGGCATAAAAAATTGAATCGTTTTTCGGTTCGACATAGTTATGCGAATCTTATTTTCAAACATGAACTTAAAAAAATCAAGATATAGATCTCGACTCACCGATGAGCGTCTTTATGGTTGTCTGCTAACAGGATTATAGTCATACGCTCCTAATTATGAATCTCTGGCCATTTAACTGCGATACCAAAGACCACATTGACTTTATTATATTTTTTAATTAAATGTTTTCTTTGTATTTATGTGTTTTGTTTACTTTCTTTACGTTTTGTAAACACATTTCTCTGTGTGTATGCAATTTGATAAAAATGCCAAATAATTTTATTATTTTGAAACATTTTTGTTTATTATTTATTAATACATTATGACTATAAGAAAATAAGAAAATAAATTATGGGAAAATGACAAGTTATGGAAGGAGTTTGTCGATTTAAATTAGGTGGTGCCCGCCATCCAACCGATATTTTAGAATGTGCTCTAGAGTAAAAGAAAGGTTGGGTACCCCTGGTCTAGAGGATGGTTAATAATCACCTCGAGCGAATGGTTTTTAACTAACCAACTATTTTACATTAAACATTTTCCTTTTAATTCAATGTAAACCTACCGCATTATAAATCACAACACCAGATCCCATTAATGCAGAAAAATAATGAGTTCTTTAAGTTCTCTGTCCTGAACGCAAAATATCTAGAAGAGCTTGGTTATGGGCCCAGCACGCTTCCACTGCGGCACTCTGCTTTTGTACTTGTGTTTGAGGAATTAAGTTATTGAAAAAATTGAAAAGCGATACAATATGCAATAAATCTTTATATTTGTGTTTCTTCGTGTTTACTTCCATGGCCAAACCAACTGCGTTATGATATGGCCAAACTGGGTGAGAACATGGCCAAACTATGTGAGGACATGGCCAAACCAACTGCGCAAAGACATGGAATTTTCTACATTCTAAACCCGGACTAACTGGCATCATAAATATACGCTGACGTCAGAACAAACAACTTATTTCAAGTTCAGATAACTCCAGTATTCACTTAATTTTATGTTTTCGCTCATATTAAATGTACGTGTTTTAAAGTGAAAAGCAAACGGAAATATTAAGATTTTAAAGAAAGCACAAAATATACTTTAATTTATAAAAATCTATGCATCGGAAAAAAAAAAGGAAAAAATAAACCGGTAGTGATCTCCCCTAAACTTTCTCGAATATTCTTATATAAAACAACAGGGGATGGTAACTGGGGATATAGTTATGATTTTTAATCCATTTTAAATACTTAAACTTTTAAAAATAGAATAGAATCTCATAAAAAAAACATTGCGCACCAAGCAAACGCCGAATAAAAACGCGTATAATAGTGCGCAATATTATTAGTACTTTAAAAATTTACATTAGTTTTTTGAGAAATCGGAAGTAGCGTAAATTACTACTTCCAGTCAACGGAAATTACTCAAAATTTAACAGAAGGTAGAGAATTAGATTTTTTACTTACATGTGAAATTTCATTTATCTATCTGAAATAGTACTCAAGTTATAGGCTTTTGAAAAATTCAAAGTAGGAAAAGTACCACTTCCGGTTATCGGAAATCGCTCAAAAGTTGATACGGATCTACGATTTTGATAAAATACTTATATATGAAATTTCATCAACCTAGCTGTAACGGTACTCAAGTTATCGTGTTTACACACGGACAGACACACACACAGACACACACACACACAGACATACGGACAAGATTGCAAAATTATGTTTTTCCGTATCAGTGAGGTGTAAAACGTCGAGATTTGTAAAAATCTCGATTTTTTTTTTTTGCACGATTACAATACTTTCTCTATACTACGTATATACGAGAAAGTAAAAAACGACCAGAAAAGAACAGAAAAAAAAATTAATATTTATACTTTCGCCTTGTTGCCTTTGGACATTTGTATCATACATGGTGTATCATACTCGACTGTTAGTTGGCTTGCTGTTGCTGTTTTGGCTTAACTTATTATATTCAACACCAGTTACTATTTTACTTTTACCCATTCTATTGGCGACACTTTAACACGTTTGAAAACACTTTGTTGGCTGCTCTGTTTCATATAACCAGTTTCTTCATGACGTAACTAGGGTTTAGTGTGGACAACTACAGCATACCTTTAAGGTCCACCCCTACCCCCTGCCCCGAGCTATTAAAGTAAATAAATCGATTCCTGGAAACAACTCCCACTGTTTGAAAATTATGTTTTTAATTACTGGTTTTGAAAACAGATATGTGATCTGGCCCATATTTTTAAAACAAAAATCGTAATGGATACCAAAAGCTGTTGTTGTGCCGTGAACATTAAAGTTTAAAAACTACGACCAGTTAAAATTTAACGGGTCAAAAAGTATTGGGGTTTGCATGAATTGAAAATAAATTTGTTCAAATCTTTTTGTCGATAATTCCATTAAATGTTAATTAATAGTTTTGGCCTCCCATCCCTATAAGAAAAAAATCAAATGGAATTTATACAGAAAATACATACTGTTATCTGTGTCTACCCTACTTCCCCCCCCCCCCCCACCGAAAATTTCAAGTGCCCCCCCCCCCTCCCCCGGAGAAAGTACCCTGAGAGAAACACTGAATGGAAATAATATTTAATGTTGAAAAGGCAAACACATGCTATTTCAATGAAAGAATTATACATCTGTCCTAACTGTTTATATTTTTTTTATTTTGGTCATATCTCCTCTCCCATTACTATCGCAAGTTTTGAATTGGCCTGTCTCACGTTTCACCACCTCTTTTCTACACGTTACCAGTAGATGAATTTTAAATTTTGTATCAGATACGGTTACGTTGTCTATTTTGTGTGTGAACATGTCTATATATATCCTACTCATTCTAAATACTATTCATAATATGTAGGAAACATACAGCAGTAGAAATTTCCGCAGTGGAAGCGTGCTGGGTCCATAACTCAGAGGTCCGTGGATCGAAAACATGCTCTGCTAGATTTCTTTTGTTAAGAAAATGTTTAGAATTCTGTATAAGTACACGTTAGGTTTAAAACTCTACAAATTGACATTATGAGAGTATGTTTAAATACAGCTGTCTATAGTGAATTACTTTTGGAAAGATATTTGGTATAATGCTTTAAAATGGAGTAAGTATTTCAAAACGGAGGTCTGACATGTGCTTTGGATTCCCGTTTTTGTTATAGTCTAATTTTTTTTTTTGCATTTATATTAATAATTTTGAATGTCATTCTTAATTATGTATTATTTTAATAATAATTTTAAAAAAGAAGAAATTGCTTTTTAATTAAAATTACCTCTGTAAAAAACTATGAAAATATAACTCTTTGGACATGTCTATTAGAGTATTTATTGGGAGCAATAAGTCATGAAAGTGGTTTTAAGGGGAAACAACTCAATAAAATTAAAAAAAGAACTCATTACATAAAGTAAAGTTTAACATGATTTAGATTATTTTTGAGTATGGGAGGTGTCGGAAGTTTGTAACGATAAATAATTAGGAGGTGAGGGTTCAAATTAAGCACAATAATTAGTGTAAAATTATATAGTTATTTCAATAAGAAATGTTTGTTGATAAGCAAAATAATCAAGGTTTCGATCCATCATAGTTTGATTACAATAACAGATGTGATATGAACACAAAAGGTAAAGAAGTAACAAAGAATAAAATGCAATGGTCGACATGTATCTCCATAGTTCAATGTATATAACCACGAAATGACAACGTTACCTCGACTTGGTGTCTAAAGTAACTTCATGGTCAAGCAGGTTTTGTACAACGTAAAACTATTTATACTTGCACACGTGCATCTACAGATTTACAAACAGCTCTAGTCACATTTTATGTTGTTTTTGTAAAAATATATTTTAATTCTTTATGTATTTGTAATGGCACAGCATATAAGTTTTAGTACAAGCATTTTAAATCTAGTATTGTTAATTAAAGAACGTCAACTCCGTGTCGCCTCTGTAATCTTGTCTTAACTCTTCCAACAAAAAAACCCCTCTGAATGAATATTTAACTTCCCAGTGTTGACCAGAGAAAATTTCCTCTATTTATTTCCTCTTAGACTAAATAAGTTGCTGAAGTACTT